AAAAATCTTTGTAACTCATGATATAAAGTGGTTGTTTGCTCACTATCTCGATTTCTTGTCCCATGCTGTACAAACTAATTCCCATTTTCAACAATCTGGTACATCCAAATTACAAGAAATCTTTTTTTCTACTTAAATCAAATTTTCAGAACAATCATTTATATACAAGTGATTCTTAAAAACAATTCAATTGCCAAATAAACACAAGCCAAGTGAGCATTGATGTTGTTTAAATTGTTAAATAATTGGTAGCAGTGTGCTAAATTGTAAAAGCAATTCATTTTCATACTCTTTGTTAGCTATAAAACATCTAATAAAAATAGAGAACGTGTTTTAAATCTAATTTTAGGAAAGTGGTTTAATTACAAGTGTAAATATAAACACACAAATGGCTTCCTTAATTTGATAACACTGAAGTTAACTTAAAAGACTTGAATATTTGATTGATGACAGTTGTTTGGTGAAAAAAACTTGTTCTTGTATTTATTACAAAAGGAAAAAGGTGAGAATTAGAATGTAATTCACTTATTCATTATTAATTAGATAGTGAACAGAACATAATTGTTCGAATTTTAGCATTTTGCTTCGTATTCATCACATGGTCATACATTAGTTTGTTGTAAATGGGAATTAGTTAGTTGAATATGATAATTAGTTTGTTGAAAATAATATGATAATTAGTTTGTTGAAAATGGGAAATATTTTGTAGAGTATGGGAAAGGGAGAGCAAACAATCACTTTATATTATGAGTGACAAAGATTTTAAAAAGTTATATCACCATATATAAACGGTTGTTTGCAAAACATAAGGATAGCTACAGTTTATTTTTAAAACAGCAAACTTTCTTTATTAAAAAGAAATTACTCCATAAGTTGACAGCAGCCCTTTATATAATGTGTAAATGATATGTATAACGTCACACTGATCCAATGAAAAACGACCTGACAAACATTTTAAATAGTTGCACATTTAAACAAAATGGTTTTGAATACATTTTTGTTTGCTTTTATAAGGTGATGACATCTGAATATATAATAAAGATATCAACAGAATCTGTTTGTTTTATTTTCATTTGAGTATGTTTTGTGAAACAGAAATCGTACTCGTCTTCTATGCCAAGAAGAAACAAAGCATTATGGTTAATTAGTTATCATTTCAATTAAATTTGTCTATTATGATGTATTGATCTCATAATATAATGTCGAATTTTCTTTAAACTGTTGAACACCCCTCCAAGGTTCACCCCAATCACATACATTTTTTTTTAGTTCCGGCCTTAATGTACATCATTGCCACTCATAAGATGAGTCATAAAACACATCAATTACAATTTTTGTCACATGAACAAGATACTTGCCCTATCTTCAAACATGCACACATTTCGCCTGTTGCATTGTTTTTCTTTTGTTTATGTCAAAATTTTCCAACCATATGTCAGCCCCCCCCCCCCCCCCCAGAAAAACCCTGTCCAGTATCCGCCCTGGTATAACTGCACATTGATACAATGTATTTTAAAAAAGCAAGGTAGTAACTATATTTGTTAATGATTTAAGACCATACTAGCATTCGGTGCACTCAAACTTATTAAACAAATCCCCCTGTTAATGTCGGTTGTACTGTGTCGATTGTACTGAAAAAGTACATCCTAATTAAATCAATGATAACATAGACCGCCCTGAAGACGACTTTTATGGAATTATTACATTACAGTGTACGAATTATGTACGGCACCTAAGAGTCGTTTTCCACATTTAACCTCTGTCAATGGATACACAATATTAGTGTAGAAAATTGATGCTTGATACACGGAAGTTGTTGTTGATGTATTCCACATGTGAAAAACTATCGTAAAAAGACTGACAGAATAAATGTGTTCTGTAAAATTTGAAACAAGCAGTCACTAAGCACTGAAGCTTAGAATTTTTATCGTGTACTGTACAGAAGTTTTGATATAGTTCCTCTCATTCACTGAATTATTGTTACCAGTAATTATTAAATCGCAATTCGTCTCTAAACTTTATATATTTTTTTGGTAAACTGTATCAATCACTTACTTATCTATGTATTTTGGAAGTTTCTATTTATATCTGTAACCATTTTCGTGTCTATATTTAATTATGTAAAACTATTTCAAATGCAAAACGAAAATGAAATTAATCTACTTGTTGCTAAATACGTTATGTTAACTGTTACGCAAACTAGAACGGAAGAAATGTGTTCATTAAAATAACTTATATAGATCTTATATGCTAGTACGTATACATCCATATTTGTATTTGTAAAGCACATTTTGCCGGTGGTTCGTCGCCCTTCTGGTTTGATATGAATAAAACTTGTTAAACTGTTGTCATCCCAAAGCGCATTTTAGGAAATATATCAGGAATGAGAAATACTGTTTCAAATTACGCAGCCAAATTAAAAACCTTTAACTTATATAACAATCAATCGTTAAGAAGTTTGTCTGTAACCTCATTTAACAGCTAAGCATTTATGTAAATGTAGAACACGCAATGCTAGACTTTCTAGTATACAGTCTGGTTTTTACTCTGGTCTAGAAAGAAGTGAAAGACTGTGCACACTCTGTAGAAGTAATGAAATTGATGATGACTTTCATTACATTTTCAAATGTTTTCACTCTAATAAAGGAGACAAATATATGCACATGTAAATACTGTATATCTAACTATTACTCTAGAAACCACAATGTTTTGAAAGTTTGAACAGTTTGTCCTCTCCTCTCCTGGTAAATATTTTCTTATTAAATTAGCAAGCTGTACTAAAGAGACATTTAAAAGTAAATCACCTTCTTCCTTTTCAGTAACTACATTTATCATATCCAATGTTCAATTTAGCAGGTAATTCTAGTTAAGCTTAATGTATTATTCCTCATCCTATGTTGGCCTTGGCTTTTTTATTAAGTACAATAATACATATTTTAAAGTAAATAACTTCTTTGACGTAACAACATATTATTATTATCATGTGACTATGTTTACGTATTTTATGTTTTTTTTTTTAAACTGATTGTAATTCTTATCCCAATAAAGGCCAATACATTTTAAAAGTATGTTTTTAGAAAATATACATATACATTGACAAGGAATAACTTGGTTTAACAGAGTTCAAAATACCCCATGAAGCAATTTAAATAAAAACAAAATTAATGTCTATTAGAAAATTAGAGAAGAAGGTGCTCTTCTCAGTGAGCTTTGATCTTATAATTAATTCTATAAATTTTAAATTTTAGGTATTTTTTTAATATAATAGATTGAATGAAATGAACAAAATAATTAAAAATATAATTATCATTACTAAAATGAATACGATGATGACTGTACCGGTTATTTAGACTAATCAAATCATTTCTTTAGACTACTTGTTCATTTAGCAAGGAAAGAAAATCGATGGTCTCTCCTTGATGCAGATTTTCCAAAATTGAGTTTGACAGCCGACGATGACCCATTGATCCAAAACAACTTATTCTACGCATTAGATTTTGCGCTCAAAATATTTTAAGAAGTGTACAACAATTATGTTAAACCATAGTATGGCGCATTTTCATAATTGATTGCATTAAAATTTTAATGATAGATAGATAGATAGTTTTATTTCAATCATATTAGGCTTAAAAGCCCACGATGACATGATAATAGCATAATACTAGACAACAAACAGTGCATATACATATGAAATACATAACATAGCATGATGACAATATCGGAGAAGATCATAACGACAAACTCTTCAAGTATAAATACATTAATGTTGTGTTTAACTTACATATATACATGTATGTATAGTATCATTTGATATAAATGTAATCCAAAACATATATATTTGATAACTGTTTAAAGTTTTAAACCTATGTGAAATTATATACATTCATCAAATAATAGGTTATATACATACATGTACCGAATAAATCCACGATTCTTGCCACATTCTAAGACAAGAAACATAGAATATAATTGATGCATATTTAATTCATTTGCAATGGTTATAGTAGAAATATATCGGCCTTACCGAAAAGAAACTGCAAGACTGATAATATGTTATAAATTAACAATCATGTTCAAAATGACTTATTGTTATTAATATGTTCGTTTTACATATATACGTGTATTTAAGATGAGATATTTCAACAAAATGAGCACATCGCATCCAATGAAATAATTATGCATACTACAGAATGTATCTTTAACATTATTCATGTGTCATAGCTCTTTCGCCATAGAGACAAAAGAAAATTTATAAGGTATCAAAAGTATTATAATGTATTGACGAAAATGTACTGTAAATTTCAAGAACAGAGGTTTTGAAATATTTGTGTGTAACAATGTGTTTACTTAAATTTGTTTTTCGTTTTCAAGCGTGTAATATCGAATAAATTTAATAAAATATGATTAAATTCCATATATTTTATCGGAAAATATGAAAATATATTAAATTTTATCATGCCGAGTGAAAATATGTAGCAAATATTTTGAAAAAAGTAAACAACAAGAAAACAACAACAAAAACATAACGAAAAACCTTTCTATTTAATTTTCGTTCAAGTAAAATAATGTCCATAAAATCACTAACTAATTGTTTAGCGCGCAGTAATATTTGATTACATGTACATGTATTTACATGTATCAGTGCATGACGATGTTTAAGTACACAATTTAATGCCGTCATCTTACACTGTGTAATTTTAATTTGTGATAATGAAATGAGTGACTGCATCTGATAGAAGTCCATTAAACTCAACAGGAATTTTGACTCCGCCCACTTTTGATATTTAGTATTAAACAAAAATGTAAAATATTTGACTGATATAGCACAATATGTCATGGGTTAAATTAAACAAAAGCTTATATGCGTTATTTCAAACATTTTAGATGAATTATTTATGATCGAAATGCATTTCAGATACGTACTTCAGAACATTTTTTCCCCCGCCCCTCTAAACACGATATTAATAAATTGTATTTTATTGTTTTTTATTTTTGCACAGATAAAAATAGAAATAGTGGCTTTGTAACCTATGACGTCCCAGAAAAAGAACGCTTGTCTACTGAAGAGGATGACGTAATTGGTTGGTAAGTAAAATTAAAAAATAATATAATATGCTATTCGGCAAACAGATTTCATATGCTAAAACATTGCATTTAACTTTAACATAATAATTAAGACTCAAGATTAAATAGAAATGCGTGAATATGAGTACATGAATTTTCTTAGCTAAAAAACCATTACCAACAGCAACAACAACAAAACAAAACTAGCTTCTTTAATGAAAATCGATGTTTCTGAAAGCCTCATAATCGTACATGTTATAGAATACTGTCAAAATGGACAGTTCACAAACGAAAGATACAATTGTATCTATAACCGTAACTCTATTATAACATGTATTATAAACGTTTTTATTTTAGATGATTGGTTAGGTAAGATATTCGCTCTCTAGAATCAAATGTTTGGTTGTGTGTGTCATCAAGGTTCTTCAATGATATTGAAGTATACGCGGCAATGTGTGAGTAAATGATTATTTTTTTAAGTAAAATGAAAACATTGGTGTTAACTTATACACTTTGATTTTGTTTCGCTCTCAAGGTATGCTCCCGGGGACTCGCTGATTGAATATACCGACGGGACTTCATATGACGGTATATGGAAAGTTGCCCACGATGATAATCTCAAAGTCGGAGACTCTGTAGATTTTAGCGGAGGTCTTGACCAAGGGTCAAGGACGTATGGAATTCAGGCGACATTAGCACCAAGTAAATATTGTTTTCTATTTTAAAAATCACACAGTGTATGCATGGCATATGGTTGTGGCTCTAGTACATGTAGTACATGTACCATTTACAGAAAAAGAGCATTTCAATTATGTGTCGCTTGTGAACGTAAAGGAATAGACTGTGAATTCGATTAGGAATTTCATTGAAACATTCATTAAAACCTGCCTGAAGCTAACATCAAGACAATCTTAAATCTGTAAGCAAAGCTCTTGATAGAAATTGTCATTAAAGAATTTTCCCATGGAGATAAAATTTGATTATATTTTACCAGGACTTGTTTAACATCTTCACAAAAGAAAACAACTGTAAACGCAAGGGAATGCCTTTTCATTTTCAAATTAGTAATAATATTAATAATAATAATAATAATAATAATAATAATAATAATAATAATAATAATAAAAGAAATAAAAGAACCAACCCCTTTCCGAAAAAAACAACAACAAAAAACGTATATACATTTTGTTTTGTTAATCTCACAAAATGATCTTATTCGCAATAAACTGCATGTCCAGTTATCTGTTGATCAATAAAAATAAGTTAAAATAAATTATTAAACACCAGGAGATGTCATAGTGCAATCGACGATAACTGTTCCAGTAGGCGGACAAACAGTCACACTTGACTTCAAGGTAACTGATCATTGTGGAGCCGAAGGCACCGGGTCTCTACAGGTTCAGATCGACTACGTTGGCGATCCCAATACAACGCCCACTACCACGAAGGCTAAGACGTCTAAGACAAGTCCAAAGGTAAAAACTACAATAACTGATAAAACTACCACCGATGTGAAAACTACAAAAGAAACTAAAATCACTGAAACATCTGTTGCCCCTGTTGCAACAGACAAAAGTACAGGCAAAAATGATAAAACAACCGCCAAACCTGACCTCTCTACAGATCAGGTAAGTAATAACAGAGGGATGGTTGTGTATCTTAAATTTACTAATTTGCGACAGACATTTTACAGGCAAAAATGATAAAACATTCGCTAAACCTGACCTCTCTACAGATCAGGTAAGTAATAGAGGAGGGGTGGTGCTAAATCTTAAGTTAACTCATTTCTGACAGACATTTCTTCGTAAATATACAATTATGACCAATGTAAGAGAAAATGTCACTAGATTTATTGTAATGTAACAAAATAGCAGCAATATGATTACGAAGGTCAAGATACATTGCATTTACATTAAAACTTTAAATGATAAATCTTGATGTTTTCAATTATCCCGCCGCTGTGCTTAATCAAGGTGTCATTTAATGATCCAAGGACGAGGCGGACATTGGGCCTTATGGTCATTTGTATCTCAAAACTGAATTGAAACTAGCAGTCAGGCACGTGCAAAGAATGTGGCAATGCTGGTTAGTTATTCAGAAAAGCCAGTTAGGTGGACTGGCGGCCTTAATGTGACTGAAAATGTGTAAGAATAGACTTAAAACCACGATAAACGATTTTTTTTGCAAAACAAACAGTATTAAAAATAGACCATTCAAATTGTTATAATAAGTCAATCGTTTTGATTATGATATGTTATAATGAATTGACAAACCAAGAAGCTGTCTGCTTTATGTATGAAATAGTATTCATACTTAAACATATCATTTTAGGACCCCTCAAATGGCACGATGAGTGCTATGTCGGGTGGATCATCTGTAGGTATGTACATTTTATTGTTTGTTTAGGCATAAAATGATACAAAAATTAGATAATTTATTTAAATGCATATGTCTTTTCAGTACGAAGACCTTACAAAAGCTGAACATTATTTATTACTCTACCCATAGATAAGAATATACTATCTTGTTATTAATGTTAAAATACAAAATTTTAATGATAAAACTAGTTAATATATTTGCATGATTCTCCTTTACGTCTTAGTAAGCGATACGTTTTAGGATTACTATTTGAGCTACTATTTGGAAAAAGTAAATTGTAAAATAACCAAAATATATGCATATGGTTTTCATGTAACCAAGAAAAAGGAAGGATAAAAATATTCATATGTTTTGTGTTTCCCATTAGGTTCATTGTACATGCATTCCTATCTTATCTACCCTAATAAAATTTAATGATTCTGTACATTCAAATTCTCAAATTTAGATGCTGTGTTGATTGGTGGTATTGTTGCTGGAATTGTTGGACTGATTATTATTATCGTGGTAACAGTTGTGTGTGTGGTAAACAAGAAAGCAAAAGTGAGACCTTCAGGTAAGGACCCTGAGAAAGCTAATAACGCTTCTAAAGACAATGCAAAAAATGATACCAAAGACAAACCGAGTCCAACGGATAAAAAAACGCAAAGTGACCCAAAGTCAACAATGAATGGAAAACCACACGTAAAGGATAAAGGATAACATATTCATTGAATATTTTCGATGAAAGAGGGGGAACATTTGTATGTAAACGAAAATAAGTTTTTGATGTACACAAAGCCCGGAAATTGTCATCGCTTTTAAGATTTTTTGAAGCATGTGTTACGAAACGCGGGGTAATCCGAGGTGATATTTGTGTATATTTTGACAATGTTTTTAATGAAACTTTGTATATATAGAAAATATATCATTAAATTATATTATCATCTATGGCTAGCTTGAATACTAACTAGTATTATTTTACTGTAAGTTTAACAAAACCTTCATGTAAATCAAATTTTATTTACTAATCTTTTTAACACACTAATCTTTTTTTACACCTGAGGAAAGAAAAAATAAAATGTTTTGTTTCGGCGCCGTATGGCCTAAACTTTGTAGGTGCGCCGTAAAAGCAACCAACCAAACAAAATAATAAAGGTCATTTTTCGTTTTACATACATTAGTATGCTCTTTTCAATTATAAAAAAGAATCACGGTGACAATTATGATGCCTTATTGGCTGACAACACTGTCAATCGTGTATCCAACATTTTTCTAACTTACTGAAAACTACTGCTAATTAATAAAGTTCAATTGTTTGTTTGTTATCTCTTCTGATACCTGACAAAAATATATCTTAACATACTGAAAGACTGTTTCCTCAGTGTATAAATCTGTAAAAAGCTTTTCGCTGGCCAAATAACAAAAACACACTAAGCTGTAATTTGATCGTAAACAACGCTATTTATTTTGCGCTTATCAGTAAAATACTGAGTTTTATCAGTGATATATAAACTTCAACACACATTGTTATAATTCACGAAAATATTTTTCATCTTTATAAAATAAGACAGAACTATGTGTTTTACAACGAATACATGTAAGTTATTTTCAATTTTACTGTTCTGAACGTTTATTACCAGTCTGCCGCATAAATTACAAAGTTATGATTTTATTTTACTGATTATTCTGAATATACATACAATTGATTTTGCGATATTTTGTTCCAAATATTCAATGCCTTCACAGTTTGAAAGTAGATATGTCCAAACGATTGTTGATGAATTATTAACAGAGTTAACAAAAATACTAGTATAAGTAAATCCTACTTGGTCTTCAGGCTTCAAAAATCTTTGCTTTTATTTATAACATAACTCTCTTGCATGTGTGTCATTATTAGAAAAAATAAATCATTTTTCTTTCGTACCTTTCGTCTTTATTAGATTTTATTTGTTTGTTGTATAACGGGGCCAAATTGCGTCGTTGCTTTGTGCCATATAATGCTATCTTATGGTGTCTTTTTCATTTAAAGTGCCTACATTTGTACTTTCTCACGACAATAATATTATATATTATGTTTAATACGTCTGCAAACATGAATTAACTTTTTTTCAATTATAATTTAGATACTTAAATTTTGATTTTGCTACCCTAAATTCTGGAATCTAAATCAGCATGTCTGCAAAGTAATTTTATCATTTGTTTTAAATTAGATGACTCGTATACTGGTGACAGTAGAGTACTATGTAAAATTATGCTTTCACATAATATTTAATATTTTCATATTTTCGGAACAACGGAAAACTAGTTCATGCAATTTTTCTTAGATAACATAATTCAATCGATGGTAATCAAACTACATTGAGTTAACTAATAAATTGGCATTGGCATGATTGAGGCAATGATTTCATTTTGCTCATTTTTTGTCCAGTACCCTGTTTGTTACCGTTCTGGAGGTTTTGTATGGTTGGGAACTGATGGAGGCTGCTTTCCGTGAATGTCCCTCACCCTTGTTGATTATGCATCATGTTCTTGAGTGTCTATGCCGACAAAACAGAAACAGACACAACTCTTTTTTGACTGTCTTCAATTTACAAATTAAACCCTTTCAAATGCCAATGGCCAGGATAAAACTGAAAGCAAAATGAACACAGTAGACTTTTCACAAAACTCTTAGATACGATAACTGAAATCTTAAGTCAGTTTCACAAAACCTATTATAGTAATTTAAGATTTTACACTTAAGATATTCTTAAGATATTTTGTGAAAAGAAGATTTATCATATTTTTTTTCTTTTATGATCGAAATTTGATGCATAATTGTTTTGTGAAAAGGTCTGCAGTATAAAAAAACAGTCCATAGGTAACAAATGAAAGCTATTGTTAACTTTTTCTTAAAACAAATGAAGTATTTTTAGGTAGGCAATACTTTCCGATAGCTTAAACCCTGGTAAATTAATGTAATCATTAGTTCAAGAATAATAATTTCAAGAAAGAATGAAACACGTGAAAGCCTGTTATCAAAATGCAATTTATTCAAAAGATATTTACATGCAGAAAAAGATATCACTAGAAGAGAAAAACAAAAATATGTATAACATATAAAATAACATTATATTTGTTTGAAGAAGTTATCAACCAAATTGTTAAAATTTGGCAAACTGCAGACAAGATAAATTCAAAATATAGGCCTCTTTAGTATGTGTTGCTGAAAATTGTCAACTTAAGACATAAACAGCAAAGTGTAACAATTTGTTGTGCAAACAGTGGAAGTTGTCTTAAAATGAATAATTGTTAATCTTAATAAATTTTTAAGGAGTTCCAATGAGGTCAAAAAAGCCTAATAACACAAAAAAAGTTTACATTTTAAATAAATTAAGTGAAGCACTTCAAACGGAAAAATCTGCTAAGATAATATAGTATATCGATTTTCTCGTGCGAATGTTGCCAGATTTGTTTAAAAAAGGTTGCAACGCTTATCATTTTTATGTAATTGTGCACAACAAAAATAATTATTGTGAACAATCCGGATTAGGAAATTTTCTAAAATTTTGCACGCACAAGTATTTGATCCATACATACATTAAATGCTACACTTAACTCGGTAAAATATTTCCAGTCCCGTCAAGTAAAAACAGCCTCAGTGGAGTCCCGTAAAGAACATTTAAGATTTTTTTATAACTGATATAAAATAGTCAATGTTTACATAATAGTGATGTGACATATAAATGATAAACAACTGTCATGACAAGCTTCATTAAATGAATGTTTTTGTTTTAACTTTCCTGTACTTTCATAAACTTTTGCATACTTGTAATAAATTTTAATCAAACTAAGTATTTATTCATATCGAACAAAATATGTAGATTGTCTCAGGAAAAAAAGTGTACATTAATTATGAATAGTTGTCCTGATTCCTTAGTGTGTCTTAATAATTCTAATTAACGAAGCGATTTGATGTAATTTTCACTTTTCTTTCATATTTGTATATTCTTTAAAATCACATTCTTCAATTCATGGTTTAAAAACGTCTTAACACATAAAGTTTGACGAATTAAAAATTAGTTTTTCACTCTCACACCTTATCATACAATGGTATGAATATTAAAACATATAAATATATTAACACTTTATTAATGGTGAATAATCTTCCTTTAACATTGAATCACTCTGATATGAAATGAGTGAACGTAACTTTTGAATTATTTGAAATTAAACACACATAACACGTGCATTTGTACTATGGAATTAAGGTGAAGCAAATCGAATTACCGGTTTTGAAAACCACGATTTTCACATTTAAGGAAAAAACTATACATTGAAAATTTTACATGATTCTACAATGGGAGACTCAGGAAGTAATACTTATTTTTTTTCTCCACGCTTAAGTTCCAAAACAAGTAATAATAAAATAGGAATGTTTGATTTGTCCTTTGTGTCAGTCATTTTCTACCTTAACATCGATTGCACACATAATTTTAACAAATATATGTTAAGTTCTTGATCGTCACCCTGTTGTAACCTACAGTTATTTAATTAGCATTTGCCACTAGTATACTGTAGAGCGGTGCCAGCCGCCAGCACATTGATGCAGTCTGACCAGGCTCTATACTATTGGTTATACATGTATCAACTTTAAATTTTCATCCTAATTTACCCATACAATGATAATGGACAGTATCAATAAATGGACGCTGGACAAGTCCATTAGGTCATGGGTTAAATCCAAACAATTCCAGAAGTTTTTACATGTACTCGGATGAATTGCATTTACAAGAAATTGAAAACGAGCGACCTATTAAACTTATACAATCAAAACAAACAGATATTATTCATTTTGGAAGAAAAATGGTGCAATATATATACAATGCTGAAATATAACATCATTCGAAAATACATAAGCAATATAAACCAATGACAAAAGTCATAATCATAAATATGAATAAACATGTTGGATGGATAATAGGCGTGTTTAATGTTTTCCATGATAGAAAGAGGTGTGTCTATGGCTATATTTAGATCTGTCAACCTTATAAACGTAATGTATGTTAATGTTCCAACCTGACGATATGTCTATATTTAAAACAATAATTTGTAATTAATGCTTCAAACTGGAGGCGTGGCTAAAGCTTTCCTTTGAACTGTAAAATGTCACACGTATTGCACCTTAGCCATCCAGAGAAAAGATGACTTGTGGGTACGTCTTTATTTAGAAACGTAATTTGGAAAACGTGTTGCATCGTGTTGTAACCAATGTTCCGGCTATGCACGTGCATATTTAGATTATTAGAACTTTAATTAGAATATCAATTATAATACGTAAATATAATATCCAACACAGGAGGCGTGGCTATTACTTTTTGATTGAAGTTCCAACATGGAGGTGTGACTATGGCTATATTTAAAACTGTATAATTTGTAACACCTTTAATGTGTGTTAATGTTCCGGACTAGAGGTGTGACTATAATTATATTTAGAACTGTCAAATGTCACTAGTGGCGCGGTGGCAGCAGCTGTCCCTGATGTATATCCCGTAAGCTGAAATAATAATAATAATAATAATAATAATAATAATAAAATGATAAAACTTGTAATAATAGGAATCCGATATATACTTTCACCTGCAAGTAATATCTCTGTGACATCAAGTAAAATTTTGCATTATTTTTACAAAGTTATTGATAACTCGATAAATAATGAGTTCGTGATATTGAAATTCGACATATACAACAGTAATAGTATATGCCTTTTGTATCTTAAATGAGGACCGAGATTACTTGGAGAACAAAAAACCACAACAAATGTGCCTGTTCATTGATTGCTTCAAAATAAATTCAGTCACGAAAAAATACGAACTTACATTTTACGAGACATTAACTAAATAGACATGTGGTTCGGCACACTCTTTGCACGTGACATGATTCAAGTACAGTTAATATTATTTAATAACGTACCACGGAATTTTCTCTGTCACTATATCCCGCTTCTTTTAATGCTTCTAGCGGTTCTTTTTTCACTATGCGCACTGTTTGAGGCTTCATCTGTGACAATAAAAGCTTGATTATTTTATACTTGATATCTGATATAAGCTTTGTAATAAATGTAAAAAACAACAACAACAACAATAGTTATATGAGATCCTGTAATTAGAAAATTAATGTCACTGATAAATTTGCATCTGTTTGGGTGCATGTTACAACAATACTACCGTTATAAGGCTTCTGTTAAGCATTATTTTTCTAAAGGTGACAGTTAATGCTCTTTCATGTGCGGCGTTACTTTGAGGATGTTTGTCGCCTTGGTTAGAAACCACCAATCTTTTCATACATTATTTTTATCAGACTTCAGCAAAAGTAGTAAAGTGATAAAAGCAACCGACTAAGACCTCTGGAACTTGAAGAAGATGTTGAGGGCACACTTCTTCAGATTCATGATTTGTATTTAAAGTGAAAAACACACCACAATTTAATGATTAAAATTATTGTTCAGCGATGAGCAAACGAATTTCACTTAGCTTCAGACACATTCTCTCCGCCTAAAATATCTTTAACCAGTTTAAAATATATGGCTTTATTATATACCTACACATTTTTCTCCCTAAAATACATGCAAATCTTGAAGCGCAAATACGCTTCAACTGATAGAAAATTCCCGTATTATGTTGGACAAATACGGTTGCCATCATATATAAAATGTTCGTACTACTTTATTTTGCGTTGGTTCCGATCTTAACTTTGTTTTATCACACCCCGTGCCGATTTTGCGACTCCGTAAATATGGTATTGCACGGCCGTTCATATATTTTGACGTGACGTCATTAGCGTTATAAAACATAGTGTAAAGACGCGCTAAATGTTTAGCGTTATACTATAGGCGCGTCAATAAAAAATGACTCTTATTTCACTTTAAACGGTCTTTAATTTTGGGGTATGTGATAAAATAGAATATTAAATTCGTGTAAGTTAATAACTAAATTTATTGCACTCGTTGAATAAAATAATATTTGCTCGCAAAGGCCTCGCATTTAATAATAATTTTATACAACTCGTGCAATAAATTCAGTATGAACTACACTCATCCAATATCCTCTATTTATCACATAACCGCGGGCGCAGGAGTGTAATAAAGCCATTTAATAAAAACGATATTACACTTGTGTAATAACACTTTGACGTGACGACATTTGCGCTATATATAAACAAAGCGTTTAAGCGCGCTAATGTTAGCGTTATACTATATAGACAAGTCGTTGAAAAAATTACTCATTTTAACAGTTTACTGTTCTTATTTTATATATGTGATAAAAAGAATATTATATTTGTGTAGATTCAATGACTAAATTTTATTGAACTCGTTGAATAAAACAAGATTTTATTCAACTCGTTCAATAAATTTAGTATTAAACAAACACTCATTCAATATCCTCTATGTAACAACGCATTTGGGGAAACGGGAACCAAAATTGTAAAAGGCGTGACCAGTTTGTACGAATTACGTATTTGTCGACCAAGTCATGACACTTGTTGTAATTAATACACACAGCTAAATTTTGAGAATATACAACAAAAATAGACACGAAAGACAAAATATAAATAAAGTTTTATTCTTTGCCTTTTTTTCATTCTTCCTCTTTCACGAAGTTTTCGTATTCGTTGATGTATAACATATTCACATAAGGCAACAATCATTGAGAGTAACAAACCCCCTACAAGAATATGGAATATTCCTGACACATTACTGAGGGTTAGAGCACTCGTCGTGGCATCCTGAAAAATAATTTGAGCCGCGTCACGACAAAACCAACATAGTGCGTTTGCGACCAGCATGGATCCAGACCAGCCTGTGCATCCGCGCAGTCTGATCAGGATCCATGCTGTTCGCTTACCAACTCTATTACAAGTAGAGGAACTGATAGCGAACAGCATGGATCCTGATCAGACTGCGAGATGCGCAGGCTGGTCTGGATCGATGCTGGTCGCAAACATTATGTTGGTTTTGTCGTGACGCGGCTCATTTATTGGTCATGAATTATATGAGCCGTGTCACGACAAAACCAACATAATGGGTTTGCGACCAGCATGGCTCCAGATCAGACTGCGCGGATGCGCAGGCTGGTCAGGATCCATGCTGTTCGCTATCTGTTTCTCTTCTTGTTATAGGGTTTGCAAGCGAACAGCATGGATCCTGATCAGACTGCGCGGATGCGCAGGCTGGTCTGGATCCATGCTGGTCGCAAACCCATTATGTTGGTTTTGTCGTGACACGGCTCATATAATGTTTATGTGAAAACAAAATTTCGATGATATTTGAAAAAAATATTATATACAATCGACTAAAACCATACTTACACAGTGTACGTCAAAAATTATCCAATGATTTACATAATAACTAAATTTCGATGATATTTGAATTTTTTTTAGGAATCGGCTAAAAAATCTAAAAATCAAATATTTTTGAGTGAAAACCTTAAAATTCGATGATGATCGCAAAATCTAGAATTCGGTGATATTAAAAAAAAAAAAAAAAACGCTAGAATTTGATGACATTAGAATAAAAATACCGAACAAACTAGAATTCAAATTCTAATTCAAAAGTCTTTATTTTCTGTCAGTGTATCATACATGATAAAACATAAGGTATGAACTTTTTGTAAACACAGCTGTACGTGCATGGCGAACAATCACATCCATAAAAATAGATTAACCATCTATTTATTTCGTTCAGTATGAAAACTTTTTATTAGGTGTAATTATTCTGCAGCATAATTAAAATATATCTATAATACTTTTGTTTCAATAAACAGATGAGATTTAAAAATATACTTGACCTGTGTTATTGATAATCTGCAATTAACATAAAAATGATGTCTATTTCATAAAGCTAGCAGCTTTTGGCACCTGTCATACATAATATCGGGCAAACGACAGTCTTTGTTTTTTTTATAAGAAGTGCAGATTTTAATTAATTGTCAATTATAGCCTAATGTATAAACTCACGAAAAGTGATTATGGATATATTTTCTATTAATAAGCAGTGTTCTAAAGTTTGGATTAATCTTTATGGTGATCACTATGAATTTTGGGGCAATGGCGGATATCCCAAAGTTGTTTCAAGTGCTGTCTCATTAAAAAATGTAAGTGTTAATTTGGTGAAATATAGAACTAAAATTCAATAATATTTGTAAAAAAAATCAACAACATGTGAAATTCGACGATTGTCGAACCAAGAAAAAAAAATCCCCCAAGAACGAACTGAACCTTTAGTTTTATAAATGTCAGTATTTTGATCGGAACATATTCTAAAATAGTGACAGTAAAATTGTTATTTACTATTGTTTTTAAGAAAAACTTTATTTGAACAGGAATAAATCGTTGAGCAATGGCATAATCATTCGCTGATTACGCTTAGACAAAAACATTTTGTGCCATATACCGAACCTTTGTTTCCAATGTTCTTGATTCAAAGCAGTCTTTCTTGATTCATGAGATATATACAATCATCATATATTTACTTAAATATATAATGCACTTTTAAGTTTTGATTAATCAAAAATGTATGCTAATTTCGTCTTCAAAAGTTTTGTTTTCAGAATATTCTTCTTTCTAATTTATAATTACCTGTTTGTTGGTGCCACACATTCCTTTAGAGTACCACCATTTCTGTTCCAGTTTCATCAACTGACCGGGTTTCTCTTAATTTGAGAACTGCTTAAAAAAAAAAAAAAAAAAAAAAAAAAAAAATTTAACTGATTTCTGAAAATGGAAATAAAAAAGGCAAATAACTTATTTTAACTTTGGAGCATACAACAATTTTTTTCTGACGAGTGTGGCTTATTTATGTCAAGATGTATTTTTTCAAAT